TTTATTACATCATCATCAGCCGATTGCCTTTATATCATCATCTACATTGGACATATAGCTGATTGCTTAAACCCTATCGCTATCGGCTGGTATCGGCTTCGGCTATTATTGGCTATCGGCTGAAACTACTCTATCGGCTTGTCAGCCGATCAGCTGTTTTGATCTACTATTTGCATATCTTGTCAGTTGCAGGATCAAACTGACTGACACGCCCGCATCCCATCAAGATTTGGACCTGCACAGGAGCTAAACAGATCTCCCAGGCCAGTGTGTTCGATTTTTTCGTCAACAGGTATACAAGCACTTTCACAAGATCTGGGTAAAAACATGTAAGAGAGATATGAGATTTATTGTGTATATATGTTGATGTTGTATTGAGCATAGGTATGCGGTTTATATAAGAGACGATTTCAAAACTTAGCAATCCAATCCTAATATCCTTTTTAACTACCAACCATATATTCTGGCATCATCATTAGTCTAAGCACGCAAACAAATATGGATACTTAGACTAGAGTCCAGAGCTGAAATGACAACAGTCAAGATAACCAAAAATGAAGGGCATATATAATTGGTAATTAGGGTGGCCATGCATAGGGTACCGTAATCGATGTGGTTGAAGTCTCAGTGTGTACCGGTGACAAGATAATCACACGTAAAGTGGTGGGCGAGTTGGAAATGCCGAAATGATAGTGAGAGTAAATGTGTCGTCGTTGTACCGGTTTGCAACAAAGATAGAGACATACATGATTGAGGCAATTAGGCAAAGGTGCGGAATATTACATTGGGCAATATGCAATATGCAACTTTAATGGAGAACAAATCGAAGAATATGGATTAATCAACAAAATATTTGTAGCATATGCCACTTATCTTCGACTCATGATGCATGTGCATGCATTCGTTGTCTTTATCTTCTTGCAAGCTAGCAGCTCATCAATCTCACGTACGAACGTACGTACAGGAGGGCTAATGTGCATCTTTTAGAGTGGTGGTCCACTAGATCATGAGAAACAAATTGAAAGCAATAGGACACACACAAAGAGACATGCATAAGGTGCTAGAACACAACTTTATAAATTAAATTGAGTTTAACTAATTAATTTGTTGAACAAGCCTAGGATGAATTCCATCTTGTTTGATTTTTGCAGTTCATTGTGTGTAAACAGCTTTTCTATACTGGTCTCTTTTTTTTTGGGGGGGGGGGGGGGGGAGGGGTGGCTCGGAAGGCTAGATCAGATTTTTGTGCAAATAAAGAGATTAGCATCAGTGGCTCAACCTTATAGTATCTGTAGAGCAAAAGGAATGTCATGTTTAAGTACTAATAATTCATATGCAGTCTGCCTTAAATGAGAGATTTACTATCTAGTTTAATTTGCTGCAGTACACGTCTGTATGGCAGCGTGCAAATGGAGTATGAATTTAAGAATGTGTGTGAAATTAAGGCATGCAGGCCAGGCTCGAAAGAGAGTTAATACAAGTAATATCAAAGATGAGAGACATAATAATGAGAAGGAGCTAGCATTGCTGTAAACCCGAGGTATATCGTGCGCACCTGTCCATGCATGTATCACTCAATTACCTTCATTGCTTCCTCTTAATTTACATACATGTTCAGCTAGAATAATGTTGATGAACATAGGAGCATTTGGAAGTGGTCACGCTCGAGGGGCTCTTACATAATGGCATATAAATGAGTCGGCTTGTTGCACTGTCACGTAGAATATAAGATATACTTTATTACAGTATAGTTTTTATGAAATAATTATTATATTCATATTCGAATCTATTTTCTAGTGGTTATATTTTGTACACTACTATATAATAGATTTTTTTCGGATAAGACCCCCTCTGAATTGTAGTTGGACCATAGTTGCCCATGCATAAAAAATATAGTTTAAGGGCCACATTTGAAAATCTATCTTTGCATCCGGCCTCTTAAGATGCCCTCGTGCGATAAAAGATGCATTATCACAGGCACACCTCTTAAGGGTCACTTGCGAAAATATTTTCGCAGGGCAATGTGGAGAGCAAGTTGGCCCCATGCATCCCTGAACCTATTTGGAAAACATAATTGTTAGTAGTGAAGTATTTATTCAGTATACTGATGACCGAAACTTGCCCATTATGTGCTCCACCAAATCTCTTTTAACAAGGTTGTGCGTGCCTTGGTTTCACTTAGCAAAATCTCGATGAATTAGCACAACATAAATTGTTAGTAGTGAAGTATTTATTCAGTATACTGATGACCGAACCTTGCCCATATGTGCTCCACCAAATCTCTTTTAACAAGGCTGTGCGTGTCTTGGTTTCGCATAGCAAAATTTCGCTGAATTAGCACAACATAATGTTATGGGGACTTAATCTCGTAGTCACCCTCAAACTCAGGGCGGAGCTACATATAGCTAGGGGGGTGCCTAGGAACCTAGTTAAAAAAAAGGCAAAATTTGCTACAGGACATCCAAAAAACATGTAATTAGCTGGAGGACACCGTAAAAACGTGTATTTACTGTAGGGCATTGTAAAAAACTGGTAATTAGCTGTTGTACACTCATGGCATTATTTTATTATTTTTGAAGGAAAAGAGAGAGAAACAACCATGTAAATACGGTTCTACCCTTTGAATTCTTTTCTTTTTCTTTGTTCTTTTCTCTCTCATTCTCTCTCTTCTCTGTTCTGTCTTCTTGCTTCTCTCTCAATGAGTTCCCAGCGGCCAGGATGAGTTCCCGGCGGAGGCGGCTGCCTTCGATGGCCATCGTCCGACGTTCTCGGCGTCCGGTCAGTCTGCATGGATCAATGGGTTAAACTCAGATCAATCATCAATTCATCATCCATGTCGAGATCGATTGCCATGGCGGTCAATGGCGTTTGGGGTGGGCGCGTGCGAGCGGCAGTGTCTCTCCAGCGTGCTGTGGGCGTGCTTGAGCCTGGACATGCCCGGCGTCGTGGACCCGGTGGCCACCGGCACTGTATCCTCGCGGCTGGCGTCGTCGTCGCGCCACCGTCGCGGACAACGTGACGGGCATCGACGGTGCCCGCCGCAGCGCCGACCTGACACCTTCCTCGGCGATCCTGGTGCGGAGCATGCTCTCGTATATCGAGCTCCAGTTCAGGTCGTCGTCCTCCGCGTCGGCTTCCTGATCGCCACCACCGCCCCGACGAGGTGCTGGAGCAGATCTTCCTCCGCCTCGATGCCCTTCCCGACCTCGCCCGCTCCATGTTCCACCGCCTCATCGCCGCCCGCGCCTTCCTCGGCCGCATCCACAACCTCCACCCGCGACCTCTCCTCGGATTCTTCAAACGGGAAGGACCATCGTGCGAGTTCTTCCCCACCGCGCCACCCCACTCCTCCGTCGCGGCCGCTAGTGCTATCGCCGGCGGCTCGGCTGCACGAAACCCCCCCCCCCCTCCCCCCCCCCCCCCCCGGGCGCCCTCCCGACAACGAACGTGATCGTCACTGTTGCCACGGCCACGGATCGCCGCTCCGCTACCAGACCTGTCTGGGAAGAAGGAGAAGGAGAGGGGACTTCCATGTGGGGCCCACGTTGGAGTTATATGAGCCAAGGCAATCTTGTTTTTAATCATTTCCTTTTCCTCCAAAAATAATAAAATAATACTGCGAGTGTCCAGCAGCCAATTACTTGTTTTTTCGATGCCCTACAGCAAATACACGTTTTTACGGTGTCCTCCAGCTAATTACACGTTTTTTGGATGTCATATAGCAAATTTTGCCTAAAAAAAATTTTAGCTATAGTTTGTCTATTTTCACCATATATATACTCTGTTAGTTCAAAATTAGACACCCGTATCAAGCTAAATTTAATTCAAATCAGAGTAAAGCAAGCAAGTGGAACCCTCTTTATTTTGTGCTAGCTCCGCCCCTGCTCAAACTCATGTGCGTCCATAGGCCCTAGGTGACATTCATCCTTCACAATCATATTGTGTTTTATAATACATCTCGTCATTATATTGATAATGCCCGATTGCTCCCATAAGTGAGTAAGAGTAGTGACCACCTCGAAACAGGCTATTAATATACCAAATGCACATTCAACATCTTTTCTCGTTGATTCTTGATGAAGAGGAAACATTTTTTCCTTCTCCAATTGACGATGCCAGATCGACTGAACAAGAGTTGCCCATTCTAGATAGATTCCATTGGCGTATAGTATCCCAAATTATATTAATTTCCACTGTGTAGCGCATCCTTATCGATATACCCATGAGTTAATAAGTGAATGTATGGGATTGGTTCAAAACACTGATCTCATCATTTGATCCTGCTACACCGAACAAACAATGCCAAATCCACCGGTCACAGGATGCCACTGCCTCCACGATGATTGTTGCTGCACCATAGTCTCCATGTGTGTACATTGCTTTCTAACTGTTTGAGCACTTCTTCCACTTCTTCTATGATATGTTGAACATCATCAACGGTGGGTTTCCTCATATATTCCAGTCTGAATATTGCAATGATGCCTTGATGCATGTGTGCGGTTGCTCTTTTTTTTTTTAGATAATGGAATATACACGGATGCTCTTGTGTTCTTGTTGTTGATTTGTATTGTGGATGCGGAATAGGAGGGCATCGATGTGCTGGGCTGTGAATTTTAGAGAGCCGCTTGAAGCATCGACTTGATTCAAGCCATCCTCTATGTTTTTATTTATTCGAGGGAACACATCAATGTCGGTTTTAAAATGGGTACCGACAACCCCTTCATCAGTGCCTAATTAGCTGTAGTGTCGGTTAGGAAACCGGCACTGATATGCCTTTTCAACTGGTATTGTTGACGATTTCTGTATTTGTGGCAAGGTTTAGATGAGGAAAGGCTCCTTATTTGACGGATCGATCGAATCAATCGTGCCCAGCAGGCAGCAAAGTATGCATGCATGGCCAAACCATAGATGGTGGGCCCACACACTCTGGCTCTCCTCCCTCCTTCTACCGTACCTCAACGCCGTTTCCTATATTTATGTCACCTCGCCTTCGACTACGTACATACCACCCTGCGCTTGTCATCAAACAACGGTCGACCTCAAACCACCATCAGATCGATCGAGCTTGAAACAAATTAAGCCACCAAAAGCAACATTCCCTTGGTGACCGTAGCTAGACTCATCCATCATCCATGGGAGACGCGCTGTGTGATCAGCTCCTCTTGGTGGACAGCGACGGCGGCGAGTTCATCCCCCACCACGCCGACGCCGACGCCGACGACCTCTTCACCATCCTCGAGACGTGGGAGGGCTGCGCCAACGTCGTCGCCGGCGGCGCCCCCGCGACCACGACGACGTTAGGTAGTCCTATTGCCGCCGCTGCCTGCATCTCCGGCGTTGTTGGTGGGCAGAATCATCAGCAGCTGCCGGAACCTGCCGCCGCGAAGACCGTGCCAGCCACCAATAACAAGCGGCGGGAGGAGGAGGTGGCGGACCGTGACGGCGACGGAGACGACGACGACGGTTCGCCGCAGAAGAGGCGCAAGTGCTGCTCGCCGGAGTCTTCGACGACGGACGTGGCGGCGGCGACGACGCCCAAGACGGCGCACATCGCCGTGGAGCGCAACCGGAGGAAGCAGATGAACGAGAACCTCGCCGTGCTTCGCTCCCTCATGCCATGCTTCTACGTCAAGCGGGTAAGATCGTCTACACATCGATATAAGCCTCTAACTATAAGTGATCTACCCCATGTGTCTTAAAAAACCAATGTATACAAACTTTCTTGCTATGAATCTGGACATAGCCTACGGTTACTTCTAATTAGAAGCTATTTTTTTCACGACAAAGAAAGTATATAATATATAGCCTGAGTTGAACTTTTGGAATAGCATAGTTTACTTCTAGTCAGAAGTTCATTTTTTTAGATTGAGAAAGTATGTAATATCTAGCTAGCTAATGTGATTGGTGCACGAACAAGTTAGATTCTCCAACTAGTCTCCATGGATTGGGTATCAATCATTTATGATCCTACACGCACTATGCCATCTATCTGCTAGCTAGTCGATCATATCACATCACTTATTGGCACAGGCATCCGGTCCTACGTAACGTAGTACGACAGTACTACCAATACTGTCTCATGCATCAATGCATATGGTATATGGACCGACCTACTCCGTGAAAATTCTCAGTTTAGACTTTAATTCAATCAGCTGTACAGGCAAAGAGCAGGGATTCTACGAATGCATATACTCAAGTAGAGAATCTCAATTGAAACTAACACTCCTATAGATAGCATGTTTTTTTTGCCTTGCCAGCGCTGGAATATAATGCAACCATGCATATATATATATATATATATATATATATATATAGTTAACATCTTAGGCTCTATTTATTTATTTGGTGCAATAGATAACTACTCTGAGATAATATACATATATATAGTTATGTTAGACCAAGTTACACTATTTGTTTCTCTGAAATAATATACATATATATAGTTATGTTTGACATGTATTAATTTGAAATTTTGAATTGATCAGGGAGACCAGGCATCCATCATAGGAGGAGTGGTGGACTACATCAAGGAGCTGCAGCAAGTATTGCACTCGCTGGAGGCCAAGAAGCAGCGCAAGGTCTACACCGACCAGGTGCTCAGCCCACGGCCGCCGGCGACGGTGGCGGCGTCGTGCTGCAGCCCGCGCCCACCGCAGCTCAGCCCCAGGCTGCCGCCGCAGCTGCTCAAGTCCACGCCGCCGCTCAGCCCGCGGCTCGCCGTGCCGATCAGCCCCAGGACGCCGCCGACGCCCGGTAGTCCCTACAGGCTCCTCCGGCTGCCGCCGCCGCCGCCCCCGGCGTCCGGCTCCAACTACGCGTCCCCGGCGATGACGCCGACCCACCACGAGACGGCGGCGCCGTCGCTGGACGCCATCGCCGCCGAGCTGTCGGCGTACGCCAGCAGGCAGGCGCTGGGCGGCGGCCTCCTCCTCCCCGACGTGAAGGTGGAGTTCGCCGGCGCGAACCTGGTGCTGAAGACGGTGTCGCAGCGGTCGCCGGGGCAGGCGGTGAAGATCATCGCCGCCCTGGAGGGCCGATCGCTGGAGATTCTTCACGCCAAGATCAGCACCGTCGATGACACCGCCGTCAACTCCTTCACTGTCAAGGTGTGTACTGCTAGTCTGCTACTGCATGGCACAGCTATTTCAGCTCTTGCGCTCATTATGTGATTATTATTACCCCCTTCATTTTTAAATGATTGACACCGGATACGTGCACTATTTATTTTTAAAATTTTGAAAAATTGTCTTCTTTGCAAAATATTTACAAACACTATAAGGGTTATTAAGTGTGAAACTTTTGATCACTTTAATCTAACAATTTAAGAGTAATTAGTGGTCAAAGTTCTAATAGTACACTGAAAGTTGCTAGATTTTTTAAAATGGAGAGAGTATGTGTCCTAATCACAATTATTTAAAAAAATTAAAACTGAATTAATGTTTAACAAATTTTTCTCATAATTAGTATTTTTTTTAAATAAAGGTACGAGCTCTGCATTTCATTTAGAAAAGAAAATCAAAAGTCGCAAGTGTAATCGTTGCAACATTTTCAGCTCTACCATTTATAATTAACAGAAGCCTTCATATAATTAACCATATTATTGTCACTAAGATTGTTGATATGTACACATGAACAAAAGATCTCATAGATGAGTGCACTGCTTGAGGCCGTGTGGAGGACACAGTAAATGTGAATGGAACATTTGAAAGGAAACTGTTTAGGGTACAGTGCCGTATCAAAAGAAATGCATTTGTTTCATGTGAGTTTCCCATGAAGTGCATGTATGGCTAGCTTAACAGCTAGTACTGCCCAAGCATGTTGAAGCAATGAAGCTGCACTGCTCATAAATGTGGTAGGGTATACAAATGTCTATGTTCTGCCCGGACATCTGTATGGTAGTATAGTATATATATCAGAGACCAGACAGTGTACTGGTACTTCACTGCATGCCTTCACTGTTACATGGTGGTATATCTGCATTTTCACAGTTCTTCAGGATGGGTGCCAATTGGTAACATACATTAATTCATGGTATAATATATTGGTACACTTGTATTGGAAACAAATTTAATACTAAAATTTGTGGCATCTTCGAGTATCTAGGAGTGAAAGTTTATCATGACATTGACAAATCTTACACGTAACATTTTTTATCCTACGGTAGTTTTCAGGTTTCCGCTGCATATTTCTCCTATATATTTTTCCTATATAGGCATTCTTACAAAAATTCCTCGGGTTTCTTCGCTTCCATCCTATTTAATTAGATTATACTGGGCTGAATTTTAGTTTATTTTCATAAATAGGGCCATAACATCATGCATCAATTAAATATGACCTATGTAAATCATGTAAACATATATATGTCAGTTTCCATTTAGTGCAGTGTTGTCACGCTTTCACGTCATCTTATTTAGTTTTTGGACCATTAGATTGTAATTGTTTTGCTCTTGGGTTGATGCATGAAAGCACTTCCTTTCTGTGAAGAAACTATATATGGAATGCTATGTGATAAGTTTTAGTTTATAAGATGAAATTAACATTCCTATGATTTAATATTTTGGTAAATTATAAAATCTTCACTGTGCTTACATTTTTCTAGTATATCTTTGGGCAGATTGGAATTGAGTGCGAGCTCAGCGCTGAAGAGTTGGTACAGGTGATTCAGCAAACGTTCACATGACTCACGCATGTTTCGACCGACCAACTGTTGAAGCTGAAATTAATTAAGTATAGCATGCAGCAGAAACAGAGCGAACAGCCAAGGGAGCACTAGAGTCGACAATACGTGTTGGGCTCTCTGTGTACGAGTGTGTCTGCATTTGCGAGATGAAATTCAATTTAGTTTCAATTCAGATTTGCCTCTAGTGCTCATCATGCACGTGCTAATTTTGCATTTATTTTTGTCTTTTTGTTAATTCTCGTGCAAATTGATTTTTCTACATATATAGGACTATCGGATTCAATATTATGTCAACATTTGTCACGTGTAGCTCAGCAGCTATGAAGCAATGCATGCTCATACGAAACTAGTATATTTTTTTATCAGCATATAGAGACATCAATACATTACAAATTCACATAGATAAAGAGGTAGTATTATTTGCAAGTCGATCATAGACATACACCATACAAACAATTAGAAACAAAATATATATTGACAAATATCGATATAAAGTGTAATTTCTATCTAGATGTCAACTCCAAAGATGATCTATGTAGTATAGTTAATGCATGCATGTAAGCACTTTTTTTTACTCCAACATACTGATCCATTACATCTCCGAAGATTGTGAATTGACTAGTAATCCTGAACGTGCAATGCACGTAGCGACCAATTTGAATAAAACCAAAAAATTGTTGTCTACAATCAAACATATTTTTTGCTGCTATCGAAAATAATCTGCCATCAGAGTACAGAGCTACTGAGAGTAAGGATGCATAGCACGACACATACAACTCATACATACTCCCTCCGTCCTATAATATAAGGGATTTTGAGTTTTTGCTTGCAATGTTTGACTGCTCGTCTTATTCAATTTTTTTTGAAATTATTATTTATTTTATTTGTGACTTACTTTATTATTTACAGTATTTTAAGCACAACTTTTCGTTTTTTATATTTGCAAAAAAAATTTGAATAAGACGAGTGGTCAAACGTTGCAATAAAAAACTCAAAATCTCTTATATTGTGGGACGGAGGGAGTATAGAATGAGAATGCTGACCATCAACCTACAGGAATAACAGCGTCAAACCCACAACCGCCAAGCCTACATACTCAGAATATGCATAGCATCTGCCAAGTCACAAGCTCATGTTTATGAGCTATAATAAAAAAATTTCGGGTTATTTTTCACGGAATGATCTCCTCCTATATATCTAAAATCTATTTCACATGCCAATTGATACTGAAATCTGTTTCTTTTTTCTCTGCAATGTGCCCCTTGTGACGGTATGAAGTATGAGCACATGCACTTATACAGCTCCACCAAACGTGTGCCACCGTTTTTATTGACGGAAGAGTAGAAAAAAAATTATAATACCATTGAAGATTGATTTATCACAAAAAGCATGGTAATCTGAAGATGGCAAATCACAACTGAAAATAATTAATCTTACCACCTGTGACCAGTTCCAGCCACTACAGGGGCATCTTGAAACCTCTGATTGTGATATTTTTGCTGTGCTAATAGCTCTCGAGCAAGCAAGCTGATGTGCTTTAGCTTCACGAAAAACGATAATGTGGCTAATCAGATGCATAAGAGCCTCTAACAAAAGAGATGAATTCATACAAGAATAAGGTGGTATGAGGGACGTACTCCCTCTCCTCAAGGAGCCTCATAAGTTCCAAGTTCTTCAGGAATTGGCACAAAATACAGAAAAATACATCACCGTTTAGCAAACAGGTCCAACTCTAAAATTAATAGAAGCAGTCATAGGGATTGAGAAGATTAGAGAGAGATGAGATCCTTGACCAGCCGCGTGATTCCTTCCATGCCCGCATCCACGGCACAGACCGTCCCGCCCTGCTCCACGGCCGCTGATGTGCGCATCAAGTTTGTGATGTCGCACATCGTCTTCCTCCTCGCTACAGCCCCACCCTTGGGTATGGAGCTCACGCCGCCTGCCGCCTCCCTCCTCGATGCAGCAGCATCGGCCGCACATTGGAGGAGGTCGTCGGAGCGACAAATCAAACCACGCAGAGCGTAGGACAGGAGTTCTGTACAGCCGGGCAGCGCAGCAAGGCAGAGCCGCTGGAGTACTGGAGTCCGATTTGGTTGCAACAGCGACAGGGGCTGGGGCTGAGATGGTTCCATGCATGGATGTCGGCGATGGCGGCGGGCCGGCGGCAACAAGGGCAAGGGCATTGCCCGGAGGTGGATATCACGTCTAAAAGGGCTGGTCGTCAGGCTGCGGATGGAAGGTCCGGGAGATGTGGAACGAAGCCACAAAGCGCGGCAGGGAGTAATGCCGGCCGAGCGTGATTGACGGGGGAGGGGCAGAGAGGAGGGCATCTCGGCGTCGTTTGAGGAGGTTAGGTGCGGCCGCGTGGGTGGGCAACCGGAAGCGCGTGATGAATGTACGTCGGTGGGGATGGGGCGGTGAATGCGCGCGCTGGATTACTGCGTTGCACGATGGATGAATTAGCGGGAATAAGTGATTTGGCCATCCGATTGCAAAGGTACAACTCCTGCTTTTTATATTAGTATAGATGTGTCCTCCCTCGACAGCAACATTCTTAAAACATGCCTATAGGTACAAATTATTTTCCTCCTATTTTGCCTCCCCTGAACTGAATCTCTATACTTTCTCAGCTGATCATGGGGCAACCTCTTTTCTTTATGCCTATGAACTATGAAGAATTGGTTAGTTGATCACAGACTTCAGTGCTGAAAATAATTTCAATCACTGCCTAAAACAATGAAAGGTCACAGTTTACAGTTAAGCAGACTATGGGGCAGTAACCTGCAGTTTCTCAGTCTAAAACAATGTGAAAGTCGCGGATGAATGTTTGGTTGAACAATTACGGGAGAACTAATTATCATTTCTTTTCATTGATCACCCTAGTACTAAGTATCTATTAGTAGCCGAGTAACATGGAGCTACAGCCATTTATCTCACCAATAAAGTTCAGATCCATTTTTTTCTTAAAAATCTTTTTACAGAACAATTAAGCTAATGAAGCAATGAATTCATGGTTTGAAACTGATATAGCTGAGGGCATACAACTTACGACTCACAACATTAATGCATCAAGAAAATAGTAAGGGTGCACATGAAATCCATGTAGCCAATAAAATGAGTAAAAAAGAAAATAGTCAAATCTCATGCACTCTTTCACATTTGTTTTCAGATTTATTATTACTTATTCAGAAGGGTTTATACAAAGCAAAATTATGTTGGGCACAATTCTTTTGCATCCTTAGTCTGCAAAAATAATGAAGAATCTGAGCTCCTCTTATCATCAATTGGTGTGCCTAATATTTTGGAAGCCAATTTGATGAACTGAATAGAAGCTTCTTAAACATGCCCCCACACACTTATCTTGTCGATAGAGCAGAAGACTGAAGCATCCTAATCACTAAAGAGAATTTTGGATGGTCAAAAACTGATAATGCATCATCTATCTCAATCAAACCGAGTCAACATATGACTAATTACTTGAAGAAGCTGCTCAATCAAGCAAATAAACTAAATAATGAATCAAGAAACATTGGAAAAACATATATATACAAATGTACCATGTTATTATCACTTGTCATCCACTCATTGAACGTGAGAAACTGAGTTGCATGGAACTGTGGTGGCGCTGGGGCGGAAGGGGCAACCACCACGGCGCCTTCAGGGGCACGATGCGGTGGCGTGCAGCGAGGAGTCGCGAGGAGGCACGACAGCGAGTGAGATGGTCCGACGATGGAGGCATGACCAGGGTTTGATCTATCGGAAAGAGGAAAAATTTTGGGGGTCAGCGAAATTACGAAATTACCGAAATTTCGGATTTTTTTTCAGAAATTTCGTACGAAATTTTCAAGCAAAATTTGAATTTAAACTTCAAAATTGGGGAAAATTGACCTACACCTTAACGGAGTAGCAGAGCAAGAAAGGGAACACAGGAGAATGAAACAGCAAGATGCATGTGAGATCCCCACAGCTTGGACTGCCGTTGTCGTCGATGCAATGCGCCGGCGAGTGCATCCGCCGCTGTTCAAGCCAACGGACGGTAGAGCGCCGTTGCTGCATGTTGCCAGATCGAGAGCCGCTGCTGTCTTCGTGAGTTCGTGACCACGTCGAGCCGGAGAGCTCGCTCGCCGATTCGCATCGCCTCAGTCAGAAACGAGCGGCGGCGCCTGCACGTCTATTGGACTTCGCCGGATACCGCTGCGCCACACCGCTGAGGACTGTGGACTGTGGCGGCCGCGGGGGGAATCAAGCGGAGCGAGTGAGGGGGCGGGGATTTGCGCGGCTGAGAGGAAGAGCGAGGAGGCGACGGGGATTGGCGTGGCGTTGTCATTGCTAGTGTTGTGGAAGACGGTATGCGGATGTTGGACGGAGAGGGTACCGTCAAACGATTAATCGGAATACGGTCGATTAATCGGAATTTAACGGAAATTTAACGTTTGTACAAATATATGTACCTAGTTGATAATAGTTTGCCTTTTTAGGAGAGGAAAATACATTAACTTCATATATATTTGAGATTTTTTTTCTTGAGACCTATTTGAAATTTAAACAAAAGATTAACATAAAATCTTGGATATCGTATTACATTTGGTAGAGGATTAGATGGAAAGAACATGTTGCTGTGAGTTGCGGGAAATTCGGAAGGGCAAATATACAGCTACATACTACAGAACACAGTAATGGGTTGGGTTGTTGTGGGCTGGGCCATGTAATAACGGTGATTATACGGCCGATTAATCAGAAAACGTCCGATTAGTCGCTAATTATGGGGTTTACGCGTTCTTTACCAAGTAATGAAGGCCGTATCACCATGTCGTGACGGACTGCTCACCGTTACTGAATTAACGGACGTATTAACGGCCGTACTATCCGTTTTCCACAACACTGGTCATTGCGCTCTCGGGGGCGGAGTCATCGCGTGCGCCAGGACGGAGTTATCTCGCATGATGGGAGGTGGAATAAGTGGGATTGGCGAATTAGATGAGATGAGATGGTGGATGGATGGAAGAGATTAGATGAGATGATTTGGCTAGTAGGATTAGAGGGGGGCAACTCCTTCTTTTTATATTAGTATAGATGTTGCTTTGAACACAAAATAGATGTAGGACTAGTACGTTTGAAGTCGTTGAACCAAATAGGCCTAGGTGGAGTGAATGTGTAGCCCAAGCTCATTCATCGCATGAAGTAAGATGTATTGCAAGCTAGCTTTTCGTTAGCACCTTAGAAGTTTCACCCTACACATTAGAAATTAAATTACTATTAGTTTTAATACAATTCAAAAAAATATAAACAAAAATTATGAGATTAATGTACCATGTCAATCCGATGGTTTGCAAAGTCTGAGAGTCATGTCTTCTATATCGTCGTCATCTTCAAGCCTTTTTAGTTTGAAAGAACGATTAAATTCAGGGAAGAGTAGCTCAATTTATATCTCGAGCTGGTTGGTTGATTTCGTGAGAACATCTACCAAGGGCATGGAAAGAGCACCTAGGCCCCTACTGGATTTTGCTAATTGATGACAAACGATTAGGGGACTAATGTGCTTATTGAGTGTATAAATAGGGGATCAGTCTGATGAAGAAGATGATGATGAGATGATAAAGAAGAAGAAATACAATGAGGTTTCGTTGTGATGTGGTAAGCATGTTGGTAATACATGCCGACGCAATGGAACATGCATGGGAGAAGGACAAGCAGAGTTTTGGCACCGAGGACTCAATGTAGTGTTGAAGGAGTAAGTGCTTGGTACAACACCGACGTACCAATCGAGGCTATAAGAAGTCATGGGTTAATAAGGATCAATCTTTGTTGAAAAAGAAGCGTATGGGGCAAGCCTTGGAAGATAGAAGATCAACTTGTTCTATGTGGTGTACAATCACTACTACAAAACATCAAATAGATGTCGGCACTATAGGTGCCGGAAGTGCTAAAACCGGAACCTATAGGCGTTTTCCCCACCTCCACGGGTTGAAATCGCAAAAAACGACACCTTTAAACAATTATAGGTGCCGGTTCTAAATAATAACCGACAAACATTTAATATGTTCAATGTGTCGATTAATTAAAAACTGACACCCCCTAAATTTGAGCCGAGCCGAGCCGAACTGACCTCCACTGCTCCACATCTTATCCCCTCCTCTCCTCCCCACATCTTATCCATTCCCCCTCTCTCTCTCTCTCTCTCTCTCTCTCGGCAATGACCCGGAGGCAGTGGCCGCTACAGTGTGCGGCGGTGGGAGGGGATGCGGCGGCGGCAGCGGCTCGGTGGCAGGAGGGGAGGCGGCAGTGGTCCGACAGACCGGGAGGTGGCGGTGGTGCCCTCCCCTCTGCCAGATCTGGCGGGAGGGGAGGTGGCGTCGATAGCCCGACGGCAAAAGGGGATGCGGCGGCGGTGGGTCAGTGGCGGGAGGGGAGACAGCGGTGATCCAATGGCCCGACGGCGGCGCCCTCCCCTCCGCTAGATCTAGCAGGAGGGGAGGTGGCGGCGGCGGCCCGGCGACGGCTCAGCGGCAGGAGGGGAGGCGGCAATGGTCCGACGGCCCAGGAGGTGGCGATGGTGACTTCCCTCGGTAGCGGCAGCGGTGGAGAAGGCAGCGGTGCCCTCCTCCTCTCCATCCAACAACGGTGGTGGCAGTGGAGACATCAGTGGCGGCAGTGGCAGTGGTGGTGAAGGCAGTGGAGCCCTCCTCCTCCATCCGATTCTTGATGTGTTCGTTCTTGTTGTGCTCTTGATGAATGTGATGTTGATGTGTTGTTTTTTTGAGGATTATTGACTAGTTTGTGTTCATGGATTTGAGGAAATTTTGGGATTTGGGTATTAGATGGGATCGGCTGGACGGCTCAATGCATCGACTCGATGAATTGAGCCGATTTTTTTTTCTCATGGACGCCTCAAAGGTGCCAGTTTTGGAACTAGCACCTTTGACCCTGGGTAATCAGTGCCGCCTCCTGGGTGCCGGTTGGGAAATATAGGTACCTGGTTGGACAACAATGAGTAGAGACTTTGTCCTTTTGTTATTGGACATCATATGGCGTAAAGCGTTCGGTACCAAATTATGCTTTCCAATGCAGTAAATCTCTTCTTCATTTTCTACATGAGTTAGCTAACTCATGTAGAACCATGCCTGTAGATGTGCCAACAGTATTGAATGATTGAGAACGTACGTCAGTAGATAACTAAAAATAGAAGGAAATATTAAGCTGCAATCTATTTGCCTCCACCAAATGTCTAAAAGAAGTGGATTATACAAAAGATGAGAGAATACGGACAACATCTTTATATAGCACAACCATACTGATGCTGAGTCAAGGCATCTCTGGGCCTCTACCAACTGGTTTGTTAAACCATTCATGATCAAAATAAATATTTAAGAAAAACACTCACCTTGATCTTGCTAATTTGTTCCCGCATGAAACGTTTACTTCTCAGTGCTATTTCTTCAGTGAACCACATTGTTGTTTCAGTGAATGGCATCATGCATTGAAACAGAGCTTACATTTTGTTCAATGTGGTTCAAGACATAAAGGGATTAACAGATCTATTATTTAACCAAGTAAAATGATAATTGTTGCAATCAACAAACTATGCAGATAGAAGATGAACAAAATGAATGGGAGAAGAATACTCACGAAGAATGGAAGAAATATATTGGACTTCAGATCTTCTTTGAAAGCCTGGAAAGCTCACCGAGGCTGCAAGACTGCAATAGTTGGAGCAAGACCGAAGAGAATCGCCCATAGTATGTCTCCTCTACCTAGAAAGCTGCAATAGTCAGATTGTTGAAAGGCTACAAAGCTCGCTCTTGATTCGTTATTTTCTGGCAGTGGTGAGAAGCCAGTCGCCCATATGCCATACTACCATAGCATGCCACCTCCGCTCTGCTTCCTGCCCATGCCCACTATTGCTTCCGCGCGGCACTCAGACATTCACCTTCTCCGATGGAGGTAGGACACTACCCTTCGAGCAAGTGAACATGGCAAGAACCAAGAGGATCTGAAACCAGCTCCCTGGGTGCATGTCCCTCAGGGAGTCAGGGTTCGTTTGATTGGAAGGTGAACTGAAAAAGGCTAGGAGGATTAACCATGGTTGTATTGAGACTCCCCCATTCATGGCGGTGATTTCTGGTGCACAGTTACTTTGCCCGACAGCTATTATGGCAGAATCTAAAGATGAATCGGATGCAAAAGCTGAAGCGGAAACGGAGCCACTGCCATGTCCCTTCGGTTCCTTCCTCGTGTTGCCGTGGATTTGAACAGTCGACTTGTGTTAGTGCTCTGGATGTCGAACATATGCGGATGCGAGGCGGCGGGGAAGCTTTCCATCACCGTATGAGAATGGGCCGAGGTCAGCTAAACAAAGAGCAATTTGGGCTGAGGAGCTGGGCCTGACCAGCAGGAGTAGACAGCAATTTGCACTTGGTTAGTTGTTGAAATGTTGATCCGACAGCTGTAAAGAACTGATGACGTGGCTTCACCTGATGCTTGCTTTATAGGAGTTAATGTTGTAGTGGGTATCAACTATATAAGAAGATGGGATAAGTGTTTGTCTTGAATTCAAAGAAGTAATAGAACACGATAATGAGAGGGACATGCATCTATCGGGACATTATTTGGAAACACAAGAGTAAGACATATGAATGCACATGAAGTCCGACGACAATCCTTCATAATATTATAAATTCATTTCAGTTTAACATTTTTCAAACACTAGAGCGAACTAAATCAGAAAGTTGGATATGTATATGTAGTAAACTGAAGTGAGCCCTATGATTGTACTGATAACTAAATTCTTTAGAAGAAGCTTTAGTAATCAGCGCCGATCAAGGAGCTCCATTGTTTCTTGGAGTTTTAACAAGGACTGGCAAGGCTCTCCTCAGACACATCAGCGAGGGTCCTTAGGTTACACCTGAGCAAGTTCTTGACGAAATAGCATATGTCTTCTTTGGTATTCTCTTCTGGAATGTCCACCACAAATGACTCAATAACAACTGTTCCTGGTTGGCCGTCTATGACCTCAGAGTGCATAGTCAAGGTGGATGAATAGTTATGGCATAATAACAAAAAAGAACGATGGTTAGTACCACTACAAATAAAGATCTTTGGAAATACATGCAACTTTGAGAAAATTGTAAAATCATTGATTCTGCTGCCAAAGTTGACATGTTTTCTTATTTGCTTCCATTCCCTCAACGTGTGGGTCTAAGGCCCACATTTCTGTGAGACAATAGGGACAAGTAAGGTATGGCATGGATTTCTAGTGGCCAGTAAGGATATGGTGCGAAGGTATTTATAGAATATTACAGTTATTTCTTTCTCCATAATTAGGTACATATATTGTTCCATTATCTCGAAAAATGTCTATATTGTGTGTTTCACATATTGGCTTGATAGCAATAACAAAACAAAGGACAATCTTGGAATGATTATAAATATTGAATTGTACCTTCAACATATGATCGCCACCAATAAACTTGACACGGAGGATGTATTCATTATCATCAAGGAACTCTAACCTTTCAATGCTCCTTGTGGCTGGGAGCCCACTTTGAACAATGATCTCCCTAACACTTCCGGTCTCAACATTTCCGCGCATTACACACTTTCTCACAAAAGGTTTGTAAATTTGTGGCTGATCAAACCTCCTCACCAGTGACCAAACCTGTATAATAATGAAGAGATTGAAGGGTATCAAATAAAAATGTAACTAGTATCATATCAGTAGTTTTCACAGAAGTTACAAAGAAACTAGGTGAAACCCCGCGCATTGTTGCGGGAATTTAGTATGAAGATATACATTGAAACATTATGTGAATTATGTTGGATGATAATTTAACATGTTTGTGTTTGAAAAGTTCTTAAATTATAAAAACTATAAAGATATAGCATGTTTGCATGATGTTTAAATGTGATGATTGTTAGTGGATGATGATATGGCATCTTGTTAATTAGTGGATGATGATGTGGTATCTTTGCATGAAGATATACATTGAAACATTATGTGAATTATGTTGGATGATAATTTAACATGTTTGTGTTTGAAAAGTTCTTAAATTATAAAAACTATAAAGATATAGCATGTTTGCATGATGTTTAAATGTGATGATTGTTAGTGGATGATGATATGGCATCTTGTTAATTAGTGGATGATGATGTGGTATCTTTGCATGAAGATATACATTGAAACATTATGTGAATTATGTTGGATGATAATTTAACATGTTTGTATTTCAAAAGCTCTTAAATTATAAAAACTATAAAGATATAGCATGTTTGCATGATGTTTAAATGTGATGATTGTTAGTGGATGATGATGTGACATCTTGTTAATTAGTGGATGATGATGTGGCATCTTTGCATGTTAAGCTTAAGGAGTTAGTGGGGAATAACTTTATAGTAAGACAGGATTAGTATGAGTGCGTGGTTTTCACATCTATGGCAAAGGAGAATTAGTTAGCTTCAAAGTAAACCCTTTTCAGAGGGAAAAACCCAAAGTCTACGTTAGATGCAACACATAATCTACATATCCAAAACTGTATGCGTGCGTGTGCATGTGTGTGCGCGTGTGCGTGTGCGTATGTGTGCTTGTGTGTGCTTGTGTGTGTGCATGTGTGTGCGTGTGTGTAGGGTATTGAAATAAACAAGTACATAATGTGCTCTAAAATTATGTCAAATAATTGAAATAAATATTGAAAACCAATCCTAATGCTAAGTGATAATACTTCATGCGATTCCAAAAACAACTTTACTTTTGGTATCAATTCAAACATAGCTGAAATACAGTTATATGTATATTAACGTAATATATACAATTTGAACATCAACGTGCATTGTACACTTACCACATTGAATTCATTAAGGTATGTTTGATGGATCCCTTTCTTTCAAATTATATATAAAGAGAAACATGGAAGACTCACTACATCTGTTTATGAAGGACATTTTTTTTGGAAGTGCGTTGTGGACAACATATAGAAAACAATTCAACTTAAGCAAGATGAATTATGATTTGTTTTTTTTTTTGGCATTTTAGATCAACATTACTGTTTTAAAAATCAAATATATGTTGTATATAGGATATACACTTACTAAGGTGCTAACAACTAAATATTTACATCCATATGTAATCTTACATACTCCCACTGGTCAAAAATAAGTGATGTTCTCCCACTGGTAAAAAATAAGTGATGTTCTGGAATGCCTGTAATCAACACGTTTAAAATTTGACCAACAACATCACTTTGAGAATTTTGAATTCAACTTTTAAATTTGGTATGGGTAGATATTCTTTAAAAATAGTTTCATAATATTATACCTTCCTACAATTTTCTTGCACGGATACAGTTCCGGATGAAAGGGTTCATGGACATATTAATCATAGCCAGTTGGCATATTCGGAAGCAGTAGAATTCCCAGATTTTTTTTTAGAAAAATCCTGCAAATATGGGCAGATAGCTAGCAAGTTTTAAAAAGGAAGTTTTCTTAAATACTTGCAGGATGAATGAAGCTAAAAGTAATCTTTTTAGACTGGTTACAATCAGTATAGTTCTTTTTCTCATTTTACTTTGTAACATAAAGTTTTTTTCTTCTATTTATAGAATCATAACTGCAGGGTAAATCCAGTAGTGTTCATTTCAATAAAAAAAACAATTGTCTTGGTGACAATGTCACTATCCCAAAGGTGGCTTATTTGTTACAGGAGAGAGCGTATGAACAATTCTCAAAAGATGGTATTCTGGCATGCTAACCCGCAAACTGAAAATCTACAAGGCTAAAATTCAGGCATTATCAAACCATATGTGAATTATAATTATTTTCCTAAATTCAATCAAGTGATAAAATCATATATATCGACCATCTAAAACAATTAACAATAAAATCTAACTCCATCAATGGATAGTACAACCCCAATCCCAATATAATTAAAAAAACAAAATAGATAATGACCTAATAATGGTTCAAGAAAAACGAGATGATGCTTGCTATTATTATCACTGCTTACATTTTGGAGGGGCGCCCTAACGTGCTTCGCAATGAAGGAGTTGCACTGGTTGCTACCGATTTCGTGGCGGTGGAACCGTCGCATGTACTCCATCTCCTCCTCCCGGAGTTCACATCGCTCATCCGCTAGCCTCCACTGTGCCCACTGGAGGCTCCCCGCCGGCATCCTCCCTACTGCTGCTCCCCCAGCACCACCAGCGCCACTGTTCATCTCCGGTAGGCAGTAGAAACACAGTGACACCAGCGAAGAGAAGGGGAAGAGATTGGCTGCTAGCTCTTAATCAGGTCTGTTGAGGTGGAATGGAAGAGGGGAGAAAGCACAAGAGTGGTATATATAATGACCAGCAGCATAGACCTTTCAGTGATCTGCTTCGTCATTGTGTAAGGCAAACTATGTGCTTGCCTTGTCTTGAAGCCTCGGTGATAGCAACCGGAAAGTCATGAGCTTGATCATGGTGATGTACTTACGTGAGGTGGCGGGGGAAGAAAGCTAACCGGCCAGGTTCATTGAAGTGTACAAGGTATGTAATTAACCAAATGTGTCTGTGTGTAGAAAGTGAATGTGTCTTGCACGCTTTTGTTTTCTAAAATAATATATAATTGATCAAACTGTTGGCTGTCCCATGCCATCCCGAGCTGCTTGTTGTAATCATATTGGTAGTTTTTTTTCCTAGGATACGACCATATCTTTTGTTCATTTGGTCTCCAAAAACTTACAACGGTTAAATTGGTATTATTAACACCATTTTGATTGCAACAATTTCATTTGAACTCAATACTGCGTCTAATAAAATGCAATTAGTATGTTGAAGGAAAAATCCCTAAAAGAAAATTCCAATGAAATTAGTATGTTCCTAACTGGTTTTTAGCATAACAGGGTTAACTAGCCAAAAACGAGTTAAATTATCCTAGATCCTTCCTTAATAAGAACTTGCAAGAGTTAAAAATAGTTTATAATTATCCTCGGTGAAAATCCAATGTTGTTTTTTCTTGCATTCCAACTGGTCAAATATTTCATTAGTTTTGATATGCACCTAAAGCCATGTGAGATAGGAGAACATAAGATTACTTTTTTGCTACTTCGAATCGAGTTTGACCATTGCAAACATGGGACTTCTTTTTTGTTAGGTTTGAATCCAATCCAAGGTTCAGTTGTTGGGTGTTTGGAGCACAAAGTAGAAAAGCTTTTTTGCCTCTAAAATGATGAAAAGCAAACTAAGAAATATTTCTTTTATTTTTAAGGTTGAAAAGGTTGCGTGATATATGTGAATCTACCTCATGCTCATACCTTTTTAGCACCAAGTACCACAGGAACCACTTACTTTTTTTCCTAAATATGCTCCAACCCCCTCTTGTCTTCACCTTGTATAAAGTGTCAAGGGTTCTAGCGTGCATTGCACAAGGATGAACGACATTTCGGTTCAAACTTGAATCCTAGGTGTGCAGGCAGCTAGTGCAGGCTACGTACAAAACTGAAAAATTGCTTCTCATTCTACATGACATTATCAGATCATTTCTCTTTCTCTAAAAAGGTAAAGATCAATATTGACTTTATATTGGGACGTTTGCAACATGTACCAAGTAGCACGTCGTTTTTCTTTCATACCGATCAGTGTCCCAGTTTGCTATCATGTCCATACCTAGACGCTCTCAGCAACACCCTCCCCAATTTCATAACAACTGATTTATTAGTTATTTAATTCAGGCGTAATTAATTATTATAAACCCAAAAAAAAATCACCAGTGATGGTGCATGATGGCGATGGTTCTGAGACCCACATGTAATGCCCCTCATCATGGGACTGCCAGATCTCACGGTGAGGAGGCAGAGGCCACTGGATGCCCTAGCTTTGTGGAAAGCACCCTGACTGTTGGGTCTTTGATGAAGAGGTAGAGGTAGGACGAGCACGTAGATGAGGACCGTCCTCTTCGGTGTCCACAGGACAAGATCTCCACACTATCGGGTACTACATGCTTATATTCAAGTTTTCTTTTTGTTCTTGAAATCTGATGCCACGATCTATTTTTCTTCTAAGCACAAAGTAGTGTTGGTAGTTAATACAATGTGCGTGGTGCATTTTGACATATTGTGCCATGGTTAAGACAATAAATCAAATAAGTGTTTATATTGAATTCAAAGAAGTTATGGAACTCGGTGATAAGAGGGACATGCATCTATGGGTACATTATTTAAATAGCCAAGTGTAAGACACATGAATGCACATGAAGTCCGGCAACAATCCTTCAAAATATTGTAATTTCATTTTAGTTCAACATTTCAAACACCAAAGCGAAATAAACATGAAAGTTGGATATGTATATGTAGTAAACTAAAGTGAGTGCTATGATTGCACTGGTAACTAAATTCTTTAGAAGAAGCTTTAGTAATCAGTGTTGATCAAAGAGCTGCATTGTTTCTCGGAGTTTTAACAAGTTCTACCAATTTGATATCTCGATTAATCCAACAATCACCAAAGAAGGAATGTGAGATCAAGGACCGGCTAGGCTCTCCTCAGACACGGAGGGTCCTTAGGTTAAACTTGAGCAAGTTCTCGATAAAATAGCTTATTTCATCTTTGGTGTTCCCCTCTAGAATGTCCACCACAAATGACTCAATCACTAGTGTTACTAGCTGGCCATCGATGACCTCCAAGTGGATAATCAAGGTGGATGAGTAGTCCTGGAATAATAACAAAAAAATCGACTGTCAGGACCACTACAAATAAAGATCTTCAACAAAATACATGCAAAAATAAAAAATGATAAAATCATTATTTTTGCCCCTAAAGTTGAAATGTTTCCTTATTTGATGCCATTCTCTAAACAACATGCGGGTCTAAGGCCCACATTTCAGTGAGACATTATGGACAAGTATGGTATGACCCGGTTTTCTAGTGGCAAGTAAGGATATGGTGCCAAGGCACATATAGAATATTACAGTTATTTATTTATCCATAAAAAGCTATATATTTCCATTATCTCAAATAAAAATATCTATATTGTGTATCAAATTTATTGGCTTGATAGCAATAACAAAACACAGGAAAATCTTGGAATGGTGATAAATATTGAATTGTACCTTTAGCATGTGATCACCACCAATAAACTTGACACGGAGGGTGTGATCATTATCATCAGGGAACCCTAACCTTTCAATTCTCCTTGTGGATGGGAGCCCACTTTGAACAGTATTAAGTTATTTTATTAGGGCAGTCCTCTTGTGCGAGTTCCGTTTAAGCTACTCTCTATTTGACGCCAACCTCCCTAACACTTTTGGTCTCAATGTTTCCTCACATTACACAATTTCTCACAAAAGGTTTGAAAAGTTGTGGCGGATCAAACCTCCTCACAATTGACCAAACCTATATAATAATGATGAGATTGAAGAGTATAAAAAAAACATAACTAGTATCATCAGTTAGTTTTCACAGAAGTTGCAAAAAAAAATTAGTTTGAGTGGTTTTCACATGTATGGCAAAGGAGAATTAGCTAGCTTCAAAGTAAATCATTTTTGGAGGGAAAACCCCAAAGTCTATGTTAGATGCAACACACAAGCTGCATGTCCAAATGTTTGTGTGTGTGCGCGCGCACGCACGTGCGAGTGTGGGGTATTGAAATAAACATGTACATAATGTTCTCTGAAATGATATTAAATATTTGAAAGAAGTATTGAGAACCAATCCTACTGCCAAGTGATAATACTTTATGTAATTCTAAAAACAATTATTGGTACCAATTCAAGCATATATTAATACAGTTAAACGTGTATTGACATTATAAATACAATTTGAACATCAATCTGCATTGTGCACTTACCACATTGAATTCATTAAGGTTTTTTTTAAAGGATCCCTTTATTTTGAATTATATATAAAGACAAACATGGAAGATTCACTACGCCAAATTATGAAGGACTAAAACATTTCTGTATGGAAGTGTGTTGCGGACAACAGATTGAAAACCATTCATCAACTTAATCAAGATGAAATATGATTTGTTTTTGGTTGGCATTTTAGATCAACACTATTACTTTAAAAAAATATATGTTGTATATAGGATATACACTTACACAGGTGCTAACAACTAAAAGTTTATATCCATATGTAATCTTATATAACTCTAATTACAATACATATTTATTATCCTAGCATAATATAAGTACATATACTCCGACCAGTCACAATTAGCTGATGTTCTGAAATGCCTGTAATCAACATGTTTAGAATTATACCAACAATATCACTTTGAGTATTTCAAATTCAACTTTTAAATTTGGTATGTACTGATATTCTTTAAAAATAGTATCAGAATATTATAACCTTCCTACATTTTCCATACATATTACACTAGTAATTAGTAATCATACAATTGTCTTGGTCGTGACCGTGTCACTATCCCAAAGGTCGCTTATTCGTAACAGGAGGGAGCATATAGACAATTTTCATAAGATAGTATTTTAGCATGGTAATCCGCAAACTCAAAATCTACAAGGCTAAAATTCAGGCATTATCAAACTATATGTGAAGTATAATTATTCTCCTAAACTGAATCGTGCAATGAAATCACATATATCGACCACCCAAAATAGTTAACAATAGAATCCCTATCCCTATTAGGGTAGCGCAACCCCAATCCCAATATAATTAAAAATACAAAATAGTTAAAAACCTAATCATTGAAGAAAAAATCCACATATAGCACATGGCATGCATTAATTCCATATCATAATCAATATATATATATATATATATATATATATATATATATAACTACATGATCAAAAAAACGAGATGATGCTTGTTATTATTATCACTACTTACAGTTTAGAGGGGCACCCTGATGTGTTTGGCAACGAAGGAGTTGCACCGGTTGCAACGAGCTCATAGCGGTGGAACCATCGCACGTACTCCATCTCCTCCTCCCGGAGCTCACATCGCTCATCTACTAGCTTCCACTGTGCCTGCTGGAGGCTCACCGCCGGGAGCCTCCCTGCTGCCACTCCTCCAGCACCACCAGTACAGCCGTTCATCTCCGGTAGGCAGTAGAAACACAGCAACACCAACTAGGAAGGAGGGGAAGATGATGACTGCTAGCTCTTGAATCCAATCTGTTGAGGTGGAATGGAACAGGCGAGCAAGCACAAGGGTGGTATATATATGACAAGCAACATAACCCTTTCGGTGATCTGCTTCGTCATTGTGTGAAGCAAACTGTGGCATGGCTTGTCTTGAAGCCTCCACGATAGCTGCTGGAATGTCATGAGCTTGACCATGGTGATGTACTTATGTGAGGCGG